TCCCCTCTTCTAAAAGGCAGAATTTAAGTGTGCGCTCCTGAAACAGCTCTGTGTGTCCACTTATAAATGGTACACTGCGCGACTGTGCAAATACAGCCCCGTACCGTACACGTATGAAAACCCAGTAAAGGATGAGATAAGAATAAATAGAAATGAGGTTTCTTCTACTTTCTTTCCACTGCTGGGGAGCTTCCTGGGCAGCCATTCCGGAGGCCACTGCACTGGCTTTGGGGAGCTCTGGGAGCAGTTTAGTGAGGAGGCCCAGTGCGGCGTGCTCAGCCTGGGCCCAGGCACGGTGTAGAGGCAATGGCCGGGGGACCAAAGTGAGGACATGGGTCTGAGAGTGATGTAAACAACCCACCCGCTCTCCTCTCTCCCCCTCCAAGACCCCCTGAAGGTTTTCCGTCCCTCACCTGAGATGGAGGCAATGTCCAGGCCACCTGACACCTGAACCCTGAACTCCAAGGAGAGCCGGAGCTGGGGCTGAGCTTGGGTGCTCTACTTTGAAATATGAATTTAAAAAAATATTTTATATATTTCAAATACAGTTGGCAAACTACTCTATCTTGACTGAAAATCAAAACATGAATTTTTAAAGAGATACATAAAGCACAGCTGAAGAGGACAGCCAGTCTCTTGTGATACCTGAGCAGTGGGACACAGAGCCTTAGGGAGAACTGGACACACCTGGAATGTGCTGTCACATGTTTCCGATTCTGGCATCAGGCTTCTACTGGGAGTCAGAGGTGGTACCCGGCTGTCTCAGGACTGAGCAGCTATTCGCACGGTGGTGACTCTGTGGCTCTCAGAGGCACAGTCCCCACCTTTGGTCCCACAGCACTAGCATCTCCCTGAGCAGGGCTACCAGGACAAGAATTTGTCTCCCTAACCCCCAGAGCCCTTCCCTAATAGGCGCCTTGATGGCTGAGATGTCTCCAGCCACCAGGGCGACCCGAGACTTCTTACCCCTCCCAGGTCCGCTTTGGCCAGCCCTGCTGCCTCTCCTTCGGACTTGGCTCTGCCAGGGCCGAAATACCTGGCAGCGCCTGGTTGCTGCCTGGCTGTATCATTAATAGACCACCCAGGGACTCCTTTCCGACGCCATGGGTGAGCATCGAGGGGCGAGGGGTGCTGGCGGGAAGGCAAGGGCGCAGGCCTCTGGCGCTCAGGGTGGACAGCGGCCCCCCCATCGGCAGCGGGCGATTCCAGGAAGGTATCGAAGCAGGGAGACGACCCGGCCCTAACCTTCCAGGGCCCGGGGTCCGGAACTCGGAGCGGGCGCCGCAGCACCCAGTGGCTGGCTCGGGAGGGGCCGGGAGCCTGTGGGAGCTCAGCTCGGACCGCCGCGCCGCCGGAGGGGCTCGCGTCCACCCCTCGGGGGTGGGGGGGCGGCCACACCGCCAGTGCCTGGGAGTGTATGACTTTGAGTCAGTGGCCCGCCGCGTGAAGGGTGCACACACGCACGCGTCCCGACTCCGCCCGCAGCGTGAGCCCGGACGCGGTGCCCCCAGACCCGCACGCGCCCGGGCGCACTCT